TTATACCATAGGTCCAAAAATACACTGCCATACAAGAAAATCTATCTAAAGCTGAGACTATGGACATTCTCCATGATTTTTTCAGTACACAAACTAATTTATGGCCAATACTTTTTATTAAGAAAGTACATGAGCATGTTTTCTTTTCAAGCTTGGCTTTTTAAATGTTCAATAATTTTTTACCTCGGTCCATTTGCAACAAATAAGCACAAGAATTGGGAAAGGAACATACAAAGCAATTACACCCTGGCAACAATGATGAAACAATACCTGTAGACAAACAAAGAAAGATAAAAGGCATGTTCTTGATTAAAAAGTGCAACTCACAAGAGATGTCACAGGTACTCCAATTTCTTCAACTACTTCACGAATTATACTATCAAACATTTCTTGAGAGACCTTGGTGTTATTGTGTTCCGAGTTTGTTAAGCGTTCACCCATCTGATGAGATGCCGCTTTAACTTCTTCAGGCTGTCATCATCATCATCAAACAATTGCACCAGGTAAACCAGACATAAATGCTACTCTAACAGTCTTGATAACCCAGACATAAATGTCTGCAAAAGATAAAGGGAAAGAAAAACTTCTGCCACTTGCAAATAAATAACTACAATAAACTTCCAGTGCATTAATGCACAGTAAAATCCAGGATTATAAAATGGTTCCAAAACAATAGAATCCAAAAGGGAAAACAGGCATCACAGAATTATGTCCTCAGCTATTCATCATATTGGATAGGATTTAAAGAATCAGGATGCAAATGTTTCATTTTTTCAGATTTTATACCTCTGGATGGCCTCCAGGGAAAACAACGTGTCCAGGAAATTCCCCTACATTGTAACTTCTTTGTAACACAACTATTTTCTTGTCAGATGTCTCTAAAATTGCGCCATTACCCAGTGGACTTGAGGTGTGCTGACACTGCATAAGGTCATCTACAAAAAAATCAAAGCTATAGATACATATTATGAATTATAACAAAGAAATTTTTTTAAAAAGGGCATCTTGTGCTAAAAAAATAACAATTCTGTGAGATATCCAATATGATTTTTCATCTTTCACAAATCAATACAAGATCATTTTTTTTTTCAATAAGAAATTCAGGCAGTATCTAAAATGTATTCTCAAAAGATTCATCACTGAATATGTATGAATTTATTGCTTGATTTCATTTTACTTTAAAATATACAGATTTTCAACCAGCAGACATGTGCATCATTTCATCTTTTAGTAAAATCCTCCAACAGCAGACAGACCACTACATAAGTTGTTAAATACTAAGACGAGGCAAAACACAAATTTATGAGCTCACGTGCATAGCTACTGAGATGGCAACAACAACAACGATAAGGTGTCAAAAAATAAAAAACAAACAAAGACATCCTATTCTGTGATAAATATTTCACATGAACGAAGAGATACCTTCTGATGGAACAAGGAACTTTTCCCAAAGAGGATTTAAGTTTGTTCCCACAAAAGTCCTGGATTTACAAGTAGATAGCATCAACTCTTCATTTCAGGGGAAGAATAATAAGCATAAATATGATGTGTTTCATTGCAATTACTGAAATTCAAAAAATCAGTTAAATATTTAAACCAAGAGCAATAATCCACTAATTTATAAGAAAATTGAGAAGCAGCTTCAGGCCAACCATCAGAAAACTGAAAAACCGAGTAAATGCAAGGCTGATTATAAAAACAATTCTATACTGTATCCAACTAAAGAATTTAGCTGGCAGCTTTACATCTGTCCACCTTAACCTATGACAACCCACTGTTAAGAAGACTAATCAGTTGATGCAGAACTCATTTCCAGTAATTGTGAAGGGGGAGATATTTAATGAACTTGCTATGTCTTGCCACCGGTAAGAGTTATATCATCAACGGATACTATCCTCATAAGATCATTGACCAAGTATTATGAATGTGGGACTGAACACTATGTCCAAATATCAATCTATATGAGGTTAACAATTTTACATGAGAGTTGACTCATATTTATTGGTTTGCTCCAGGAAATTAATAGATGGTATTTATGAACTGAGGTTATAAACCATACCTATAATCTGTCAAACCAAGGTGGAGACACACATGAAAATCTTGTTGTGATCCACCTCTGTTGCACAGTGTATACCCTCCATACTGTGAAGTCATTAACAAAACAACAGATAAGGAACCACAGTTCATAAAACAAAGCTTTCAAAGTAAAATGCAGGGAAAATTTTCATGCATTAAAATTTTAAAAATAAGTTATACATATGCAAGGCATCAACTTTTAGTGTGCTGCATAACGCAATTATCATGTCTTGCATCAAATGCTTCAATAGAATCATAGTTTTATTTCTACTATCAGTCCAATTATTAAATCCCCATTCTCATCAATATTTGGTTTCTCTTGCTTTTTATCAACACAAGACATTACAATCCGTTTAGAACTGTGGAAACTGTATAAAAACTCAAGAATAACTGCCAAATGCACTTGACATCAACTCGAAAGCATTGGCAAAAGAATCATGGTAATAAGCATCAAATCATACGCAAATAACGGCATTCTAAAGTTCTTTTTGGTCTGGTATTAATAATAAAGGTTTGGTAAAATGATGTCTAGCACAAAAATTACACACTTCCGATCATTGGTGCATATCATTAGATCCACATACCCGGAACTTTTTCCCATTGTACAAAGATGCATTCTTCTGTACCCTCTGATCCCATATCTTTAAAACACCAAAAAAAAACAGTTAGTTGTCGAGTTCTACAGATTTGGCCATTTATTTCAATACAGAAATAGATAAATCAGCAAACTAACTTACCTCAGAAATGGAGTTTTCTAATTCAATGTCAGGATGGGCGATTCTATCGTAAGATGGATCAAAAACCACAGATACCTTAATCCAGCAATTTTAAAAACTTAAACCACACACATAAATTTTATACTAATGAAGCTTATGATAGAACGGGAAAAAAAAAGAAAAAAAAAGAAAAAAAAGAGGACCTGAGAAGGCGATAGACCAGAGGGGCATGAGAGCACAAGTTTGTAGTTCGTTTTCTCCATTTAAATGCCGTCCCACGCTCGCCAACTGTTTGATGAAGGTGTCCGATCTAATACAGGCTCTTGTCTAGAATAGTCTCCCGGAAATCATTTTTCCAAAAAATCCTACGGATTGGATGAAGGGATTACATTAGTCAGTGTGATCGCACTATGTTGGGTAAGAATAAGTGAAATTATAAATGCATTTTTCAATTTCATAAAAATTGTCAATTGAATGAAGTTGATATAAATCCACATGTAAATATTTTACTTGTATTGTTAATTTTATTTTAAATAATTTTTTATTTATTTTCAAGGTGTATTCTTATGTTGACTTTATATAATTTTAATCTTTTATAAGTACATCATGCAAATATAAATAATTTAGGTATAATTTAATTAAATAATAAATATAAATTATAATAACATTTTTAATTATAATGAATTTATCAAAACAATCTAAAAAATTAGTTATTATTTAAAAACATTGTTAAATTAAATAATTTTAAAAAATTGATTGAGACCAAGTTAATTAAAAATTACTTTTAAAAAAATTAAAAGAAAAAAAAAACAAGTATTGTTTGTTATGAAAAGACTATGAAGTTGTTTGGTATTATAGTAACGATTGCATTTTAAAGTGTTATTTGTTCAAAAATATATTAAAATAATATTTTTTTTATTTTTAATATCAACAAATCAAAATAATTTAAAAAATAAAAATAAAATTTAATTTGAAACAAAGAAAAAATATAAAATTTTTAATTTTTTTAAAAATATTTTTGAAATATAAAACCAAATAAACTTTAAATCAACATCCTCGCCTACAAAAAAAAAAAAAAATTGAGCCACACTAGTTTATATATATAAAGATCACTCATGCAAGTTCTTTTTTAAATAGAATAAATAACTTGTCACCTAAAAATTAATATTCAAATATTTAGATTTCAAGACTCAAATTTCAACTTATTTTTATATTAAAAAAATCTAAAAATCTCAATAAATTCATTTCTAATTCTAAAATATTATTTATTCAGTATAAAATTAAAAATCAAACCAAATAAAAAAATTATAGCATCTAATCTATCTTTTCTAATATGGTTAAATGAAAAAACTATCTTCACCGAGCTTTTTTATTTTTAAGATGAATTCATTGACACTAATATCATTATATTTTTATGGTCAAAATGTGAATAATTGAACTATTTCTCTCTTATCTCCCTTATCAAATGACTTTCTTTCATATCTTAGTATCCAAAATTGAAATACATTAAAAATTATGTTTAAAGCTAAAATCTGAAACAACATAGACCAATTATATAAAAATTGAAAATTTTAGGGACCTAGTTGAAGTTCTCTACACCTGTTGAACAATAACAATGAAAAAATGGCTTTGTTTTATTTATTTATTTTTTGTTATTTATTTTTTAACTATATTATAAAATTTTATTATGTAAAAGGGTTTTTAATTTAACTTGAGAATAACCTTTAATATGTTCATATGCAAAAGCATGCAAAACAAAACAAATCTCAATACATAAAATCATGCCAGCATAACTTGTAAGGACAAAATAATAAAGAAATAAAATTCAATGATTAAAGTGTAAAAATCATTAAAAACCAAAAAGAAAAAAAAATAGTTATATGAATAATGAAATGAGTATTATATATAAACATTATTGTGACATTGAAAATGCTACTATGAAATACCTTAAAATTTATTTTGTAATTGTAATGGTTGATATTTTTATTTTGGGATGAATTTTTGGCTAAACCTAATAGTTTGCCCTTGTATTGTAACTAATCAATCAAATTAGTTCTTTGATGATTAACTTAATCAGTTAAAACTTGTAAAGCTTTTTGGTTTCTTTTTTTGGCATGGGTTGGTGTTCTTCTGTGGTGTTAAAATGTTGATTTTACAGACCGATGAGGCATGAAAAGAGCTTTTTTTTTGGGCTGGCTTAGCTTCTCTCTTTTTCTTAAGCTCAGGTGGGGGCAGCATTTACCAATATGGAAACAGCAGCTATGAATGCACTGTCTATGTGCCTCCAACATTGAAAGAGTTGCAAGTTTGATTAAGATTATTCTCTATTTATTTTTTGTATTTTAAAAATATTTTTTAAAAAAATAATTTTTTTTTTATTTTAAAGTAAAAATTTTTTTTATTTTTATATAATTTTATTATGCTGATATAAAAAATAACTTTTAAAAAATAAAAAATATATTATTTTGATACTTTATTAAATGAAAAATATTTTAAAAAATAATTATAATTATATTTTTAAATATTAAGACTTTTTGGTTTTGGATTGTTGCTTTGCCTTCCAGTTTCTTGCCATTATTTGCTTGATTTCTCTTCCATTTGGTTTGTTGTCGTGATGGGTTTAGTATTTTTAGCATCATTTCATTCTAATTTTTATGAGCTTTATTAAGGTCTATTTTATCATTTTCTGCACTTCATGTCTTGATTTCATATCAATTAGGGTTGTATGTTGCAAATTTGTTTTTTAGAGGGGTTATGTTCTCAATTTGTTTTGTTTTTCATATAGCCAGAAAAAAAATGCATGGACATAAAAATGTGCCAAAAAAGGTTTCTTTACAGTTTTCATTTGTTCTGTTGATTATGCTTGAGCCTTTTATTTTATCTCTTTATATTTGCAATGTGATTAGCTTGTTTGATATTTATTTGATGTTTTATTGTTTTCACCCTACCTTTTATCTTTCTTTTATCATTTTTTTTTTTAGTGTTTGGGTTAGGACATCAAACTTTCCCACCTTCTGTAAGATTTTAAACCTATGAAGCTCTAAGACTTGTCTACCCAAATATTGATCCTGGTAGGCAAAATTTCCTTATGTATTCCTATCTAAACACCCACTTGGTGTTTCTTCCCTTTCCATTTGGTAAGGCTGGTCGGAAGAGTTTAAAGAAAGAAATATCATTTGTTTTTAATAGATTATCTAAGAATGAATCTTTTTTGGTGTTGATGTGACTTTAATGTTTACAAAAAAAAAAATTCATAGATAATTATGGAGTTGGTGATAATGAAAATAACAAAATAATTATGCTCATAATATTAAAATTGAAAAAATATATTAATGATTATTGTGATTATGATGATGTAGCGGTAAATGGCAGTGATAATTGTTTTAAATTGCTATCAAAGACATCAGCAGTATCAATGATGGCAGCATGTTATTACTATCGTAGCGTGCATGACTTCGAATAATGGATGTGTCTCCTATAATAAAGGGTTTTGAGTTTAATAATAAAATTATAATTTTAAAGGAGTTGTCACCTAATATCATGATTATTAGAAAACCTATAGTCTATGAGAATGTGGGTGAGAGAATTAGTTGTGCAAAGGAAAGACGTATCATTTCTAGTGCACCCTATTTGTATTAAGCTGCATTATTAATTGATTGTTATTCTAAATCAATTTTCTATTTGTTAGTCTCATCTAAGATTTAAGGCATGCAAATCTTTGTTCATGAGGAATCCTTTACCTTATCAAGTTAAATCCTAATCGTTTTAGGATCCAAATTTTAGAATCGTATTTATTTTCTACTTTGTATTTTTAATAACAGAGGATATACTTTATTTACAATGTAATTTTATACTCTTAAATAATAAAGTCTACAATAATTTCTAATATTTATTACTATTAATTTATTTAATTTAATATTGAGAGCATGCATTACGTTATAGAATTCATACTTTGAATATTAATTAAACAAATTATTTTTTGTAAGATTTTGAGATTTTGGTCAAATTCTAATGGATAATCATAAATTAGTTACGATATTTATTTTGATATTTTTAAAATATGATAAAAAAAATATATTTATATTTTTTTTGAAAAATATATATGAAAAATCTTTAGAATTTGACCATATGCATGAAAACAAAATATATTTTTGTATTTTTTTAAATGAGCAATTTTTTAATGTTTTTGGTTATTTTGAATTTAAAAGAAAATCAGGTACTTTTAATATCGGGCATGTACCTTACATTGTAAGCTTACAACCTATTATTAAATGAAATTCTTAAAGAAAAAACATGTTTTTTTATTTTCCAAAATAAAGGAAATTTTCTTGAATTTTTAAACTTTTGGTATCATCATTGGCTTTTTTTTCTTTCTTTATCTTAGGATACTTAGATGAATATATCAATTAATTTTGACAATAAAACATTTATGAGTTGTCATTGCCATATGTTTTTCTAGCTTCAAGAACAACTTACATATTCATCAAAACAAGCTCACAATTCTCATTTTGTTGTCTTGGTGGGAAAATTTGATTACCAAAAGCACGTCCAACACCTGAATATCTAGATATGCTTCTTAATCCTAGTCGGTTATCTAAAAACTTTTGGTCCAATTTATGTGCTTACAACTTTATACTTTATTTCACATTTATGGATGTCAAGATTGATAATTCTATTAATATTGTATTTTTTTGTGAAGTTACTGATCTGGTCGTCTCCTTATCCAATTTTAACACTTAATACATGATAATATCCTATACTAATTAAGAATTGTTTTAACATATTGTAAGAGCTCAAGAACTATATTTTATATAAGCTTGAACAACTTTTTAATAAATTATCTGAGCTTAAGAACTATGTTTTATTCTTCTGCAACATCACTCCAGGAATATAATATTCAAATACCTAATGGTTGTTTGCTTCTTAGAGAAGAATTTAATTACAATGTTGTTGAGCTTAGAAGCCATAATTCACTGGCTTTTCCCCATCTTAATCTTAGACAGATAAATATGTACGATGCAATTATTAGAGTAGTGGTTGATAAGAAATAGTCTTTGATCTTTATTCATAGCTATGAAAGAACTAGAAAAACTTTTTTATAGTATACTATAATCAATTATGTTAGATTTGAAAGATTGGTTGTATTTGATCTAAAGGGTTATTTGTACTTGTTATTACGTCATCTGATATTGGTTGATACAATGCAATTATTAGAGTAGTAACTGATAAGAAATAGCTTTAAATTTTTGTCTATAGCTATGAAGAAACTTGAAAAACTTTTTTATGGTATACAATAATCAATTGTGTTAGATTTGAAAGATTGGTTGGTTGCACTTGCTGTTACTTTATTTGGTATTGCATCTCTTCTACTGCCTGGTGGTTGCGCATCTTATTAAAGGTTCAAGATTACATTAACAATCGATAAAGGCTCGACATGTGCTATAAAAAAAAACACACACATCTCATGCCTCCTTGAAATAACATCAATTATTGTATGGGATGAGGTTCCAATAAATAATAGATGTTGTTTCGAGGCATGAGACCGTTTGTTACATAATGCCATTTCAGGCTATGTTGATTGTCATCTTAGTTTGCCATTCAAAGGAAAAACGATCTTGTTTGGCGATGATTTTAGCTAAATTTTGCATGTCATTCCTAGAGGAACTCGAGATGAAATTATACATGCTTCTTTGATGAACTTATCACAAGTTTATAATTATAACACTAAAAAAGAACATACATCTTTCACTTGATGAGCTAAGCTCTAATGAAAGATTTGAGATAAGCCTATATGCTAAATGGATTCTTAGCATTAGCAACAATGATTTATATGATTTTTCATACTCTAACAAATGTGATTCATATTTTTAAAAAATTTCCTCTAGCATTCTCCTTCACACTTTAATCGATCCTATTACAATCATTATCTCAATAATATGCATTGGCTAAACTCAATTAGATCTTTATTACTTTAGAGAGAGACTGATTATTACTCCAAAAACATAAAAATTTCTTAAATTAATGATTTTATTCTTAGTATTGTACTTGTTGATAAACTATTTATCTTAGCACTAATTCTACTTCCACGTCATCTGAAAAGAATGACAATGTCAATATATTATATCCATAGATTAAACTTGTATTGAGGGGCTTTTCTGTATTTTTAAATTGATTTTTTTATTAAATCAAGTAGACTAGGAGAAATTTAGTATTTCAATAAATATTAAATATTATTTAAAAATAAAAAGTGGTTGATACATTAATCATACGCCCCAACGCCATTTAGGCATCATGTGAGGTATTGTCTGACGATCAAACAATGGTTTTCAGGGTGGCATTCAACTGGTTTCAATGAGGCCTCCATTCCTAGATGACAAATATGACCAACAGACATCCAGTTTGGAGTCAAAAGCTGCCTTGATTTCAATGTTTGACAATCGAAATTTTCAAAACAACCCTTCAATTTATTTTTCTTTCTGATTGGGTCCATGTTCTTTTAAGTACTATTTATTTTATTTGAAATAATTTATAAATTTTTTTTTTAATTTCGCTCTCCTTTGATTTTTTTTTAATTTTTCAAATCCGGTCCCTATTTTTTATTGTTATTTTTTTATATGAAATGATTTTTAAAATTAGATTTTTTGTTTGTTCCATCCTCTTTCGATTTTCTCTCCTATCATATTTGATTCTCATTTTTGTAATTGTTGTTTTTTAACTTCGAAAATTTTTTTAGATTGATATTTTTTTTATTTTATCTTTTGATATTAAATTAGTTGAGAATTAAGCTTCATAATTAAGTCAAAGTCTAAGATTTTACGGGTTGCGAGTTTGAAAGATTAACCTTAGTTTAGGAGATTTGTCAAGGTTTGCTTCTTTTTTTTTTAAGTTCATGTTTTTTTAGTTTCATCCTTCATCATTTATATCATTAGAGATTGGACTCCACTATTTTTTTTTATTTTCTTTCTATTAGATTTCTCACTAATTTTAAAAAAAATTCGAGTTATCTTATCCTTTAATATTGAGTTGTTTGATAATTAAGCTTCATAATTTTATTTAATTTATTTTCAACTGAGTTATCTTGGTATCACAACCAGGCTCATTCGGATTTTTTTGGACCTTTTTGTATTATATATTTTCTTTTAATTTTATCATTCAATATTTTGTTTGCTGTAAATTGAGCTTTAAACTTTTTTAATTTTTTTTCTATAAGGTTGTCTCATTCTCATTTAATTTTTTCTTTGTTATGTGATAAAATCCTTTAACATTTAATTTTTTTAAAATAATTTTTTATTTTAATTTTATCCTTCAATATTTAATTGATTAGGTATTGATCTCCGTGCTTTCTTTTCACTTTTATTTTTTATAATGTCATCTTAATCTTACGCACATGATCTTTTGGTTAGCGAGTTAACTTGATTTGATTTGAGTTTTTTTATTTTTTTAAATTAGCATTAACCTTTAATATTGGATTAAAATTGGATTATTTGATAATTGAGTTTCATGGTTTTATTCAATATTTGACAAAGTTACCCTAGTGTCATGAATAAGGTGCATATGTAATGTGCTAACTTGTATGGACTTTGGTCCCTTTTTTATATTTTTTTTCCATTGTCAATTTTTTTCATATTATATTAATATCATTGCATTTTTTTTCCTATTAAATTACCTAAGTTTATTTAACAAATCAATTGCTTGAGTCTTATACTTTCGTTATCTTTTCTAGAAGCACTTGCATTGCCTTAGGAATATTTTTTTCATGTTTGAAAACGATGGGGTCGACCCATATATCGGCCACCTATCTAGATAAAGTCTAAATATCTTTCTTTTTTTTAATTAACAAACACATTTCTTGCATATGTAATTATCTAATATCAAGTAGGGCTCAAATTTTTTTTCCCTGTATTAGTTCACGATTAAAAGGCAACCACCAATGATAAAGTGATGAACATCTGGTCACCTTTTATTAGTCGACTGGAAAGTGGAAAGCAGAAAGCAATCCTCCACCTGAAAGGGAGGCCAGACGTGTAGTTTTAGTCAGTAACAAATTAATGCGGCTGTTGCTAAGGGGCTGCAAGATCTGTTTGAGTAGTCTTTATTGGCATTAGCATTGTTTTTCAATTTCATGTCTTCTCTCTTTCAATGGGTTCCTGTCCGAAGTTAATGCATTTTGCTTGAGCTCCAATGGTGATTCGGTGAGTCCAGCTGTACCTTTCATGCCGAGGAAACGAGCCATGCCTGTGAATGGAGGAGAATAGGCTAAGTCAACTGTGGCATTAATTTATTGGAAAAAGGTGCGGGTTCATGGACCACGGTGCCTGAAAGCTATGGATTGGCCAACCATTTCTGCCATGAAGAAATCTTGAGCTGGCACATGTTGCTGTGCATATACCATTACTTTGGTTGTTGAGAATCATACCTTTTAACAAACGCAGCTTAAGGTTTTTTTCTCTTTTCTTGCTGTCCCAATTTGTACACCAGAACTACACCATGTCCCCCAGCAAGGTAAGGTTTTAATTAGCCCTTTCATATTCATATTATTAAATGCATTTGTGAAAATTTACTGTCTGAATCAAACCTAAATGGATATGTTAAATTACAAAAAAATAAAAAATCTCCTAAGATATTATAAAATTACTCATGCTCTCTGAGAGTTTAAAGTTTGGCACAAATCCTCTCGTGTTAAAGCAAGTATCATAAAACCCTCCTCTCTTGTATTCAATATATCTTCAATATGCATTCCAGTGCTTGGCCTAGCGGTGGAAGGGGCTTGTCTCCTTCCACTGCATCTAGGTTCAAACCCTGGCATGCACGCCTATCACCCCTGCGGTGTCTTACATACCTACTGGATTTGCAAGGTATTCAGTGAGTCGTGGGGATTAGTCGTGATGCGCACAAGTTAGCCCGGACACCCCACGTAAAATAATAAAAAAAAGATATCTTCAATATTTTTAAAATCATTCTCTCTAGTATTAAGGGTATTTAATTTGGATATTAAGCAAAAGTTTTTTTTTTTGTAATAGTTGTATATATTTTTAAATGGTTTTCGTGATTTCATGATACCAAAACAAATGAGATTAATAATAATAGTGAACTATTGTTTTATAACTTTACAGAGATTAGTTACAAATAGTGAACTTATACCATAGTCCTTTAAGTTGTTTAAAAGTTTATGATAATAAATTATGTTTATCATACAACCTTATTAGTTTGTAATTTATCCCTTCTGTAAAAAAATTAAAAAAAGAAAAAGAGGAATTCAAGTTATGTAAAGTGTATTATTGCTTCAAAAAATTAATTAGTAGTGATTAAAAATATAAAATTGAATATGCATTAAGAATTTTTAAGATTTAATAAAAATATATTTTTATAAATATTTAATCATGTTGAATAGATATGTTTAGGTGGGTAAATATATTTGTGAGCATGTTTGCAAATAAATTTCTATTTCAAATTTTAATTCATCAAATGATTCAATAAATAATTATTAATTAACAGTTTTCTTCAAAGAGAAATTTCTCTTCTGCTTCGCTTCTTCAGATGTATTATTACACATTAAGCCTAGTTTTTATATTCTACATCTTTTCCCGTTTATAAAATAAATCTTACACAGCTCTTTGGCGAGAATTTAAGAGACTTCATATTTTAAATCCTTTTATTTTTGATTTTTTTTAGATTATTTTGATATGTCACTGTTAAAATAAATTTTAAAAAATAAAAAAAAATATTATTTTAATATATTAAAAAAACATTTAAAAAAGTTGTTCTTCCACTCCTGAATAGTTCAATAAGTGAGGGAAAAAAAAGTGCCCTTTTCACTCACTCCACCCGCTCAGCAATTAATGCACTGTTAATATTTATGGCTCCTGTACAAAACGGCATGTGTCGGGGACAGCAGGTTTGAAAGCAATTTTAATTTATTTATTTTAAATTAAAGATATTTTAAAAATCAATCATTATTATATTTTTAATTAAAGCAAGATAGCAATTCAAAGACTTCTTTCATTTTTTTCTGGGAAAGCAAAGACTCGTATGGGAAAGATCCGGTTGATATATCTTGACTGACTAAGACAAAATTTAAAAAATAAATTAAAATGATATTATTTAGATTAAAAAAAAATAAGTTGAGAGAGTTTTGATTATATCAAGTTTAACTTGACCGAGTCAACTCGTGGACGCTTTAAATCATACGAGTTCTTGATTGGTTGATATGAAGAGGTTTTAAAACAATGATACAAGTAAAGCAGCACCGCTCGTGTACATATATCAGCTTGTTAAAAGGAAAAGGAAAAGAAAAAGGATTACAGCCAGCCTCCAGTATTAGATGGGCAGACTTGTCATCACATTGGAAGCAGCACACCTTATTGCGCTATGAAATCCAACAATAATATATAGCAACGTCATATAATAGTGTACGAATGGTAGGGAGGAAAAATCAGAAAAAAAAATAAAATATTACAGTAGCAAAAGATGGGTTTAAATTTGATGAGAGAAGCAAGAAAAGAAAGAGAAAATTAAGGAAAATATGGAGGTTGAAGAGAATAAAATATGGAGCTTAATTCGTCTAATTAAATACGCATTACGAAAGTGCTTGGATCTTCATTGTTTATCCACCCATACTTCTCCATGAATGGATTGGCCAGTGACTTCGGTGGATAGCTATCAATGCAGTCCTTCCACGCGTTATCTGCATCCAAGTCTCTCACCACCTCCCACAAGCAGCTGTTGCATTTAAAGCCCGCCCCAAAACTCATCATCAGAACCCTATCGCCTCTCTTTAGCCTCTTTTTGGCCTCCATGTATCCCAAAACATACCAAAGACTGCTAGCGGATGTGTTGCCAAACCTGTGCAATGTCATTCTTGCTGGCTCCAGATCATACTCGGTGAGATCAAGATTAACGCCAATCCCGTCTATCACCGCCTTACCACCGGTGTGGATGCAGAAGTGATCAACACCGGTCTTGAAGTTAATCACCGGTTTAGGACTGACTACTCCCTTTGCGGATCTATGGCTCCAATATTTCCGTACGAGTGACACCACCATAAATCTAAGTAGCTCCCTTACTGGCAAGATCTTTGGGGTTATTTCTCTAAGGTTGTCGACCAAAGCTCGTGTAGCGGCCTTTGGAAGTGACTTGCCTAGGTGAAACCCTAGGCGCCTTTGCTCGTCTTCTCTTTGAAGACAACACTCATATGACTCGTCTCTAGCCCCATGGTGTGTCCTAACTAGGCACTTCAATTTGAACATGGCTCGGTGCTTTAAGGCCCTTTTGTTAGTTAAAAGGATGGCACACCCGCCAGATCGGAACAAACAATTTGCAAGAATCATCGATCTATCATTCCCTGCGTACCAATTAGGGCTTAAAGACTCCGAGGTGACAGCAAGCGCATAAACATTTTTGCAACTCTTAAAAACGTTTTGGACAATGTCAACTGATATAAGGCTTGCACTACAACCCATACCAGAGAGGTTAAAAACCTTAACATCTTCCCTTAATTTATAGTGATTTATGATCCTAGCGGCTAAAGAAGGCACGGAAGACAGCATGGAGACATTAACTACAAGAAGATCAATTTCTCTAGGAGAAATGCCTGACCTGGCCAAGAGCTTTTCGATGCTGTCATGAAAGAACTCCTCCATCTCAGAAACTGAATCTTGTAATGTAGGGTTTTCCTCTTGGCCTTTGAACATGATCCTGGGAGCATAGGTTTGCTCCCCGATTCCAGAGCTCACAATAGCTTTCAACAGAAACTTGTACTCGTTAAGACCAAGCTGTTTACTCCTCATTATCACTTGCCCAGAAAACTGTGTGTCAAGCTTCCTGTCATCTGTTGGTTTGTAGCACTCGTAGTCTAGTATTAATTATAAATCAAAAAAATTATAAATATATTTAATTAAATAAATCAAGAATTATAGGTATTAATAAATACAAAAATAAAAGTTATTAATGATCATGACTAAAATTTAAACTAAAAAAATTAAAATGTAGACCAAGATTTGTAACTCACACAACAACATGGGTCAGATATCTAGTTGTATTTAATAATTTTATCTTTTAAAATTATTTTTATTTAATTAAATAATAATAAAGATAAATATTTATAAAAGTAATTGAATAAAATTAAAGAAAAAATATTATTCAATGTTACCTATATTAAAAAAATTATAATTTTATATGAAAACCATGTAAAAAATAAACAATATTTGACCATAAATAAATTAAAAAGTTGAGAGATAGATATGGTTGTAGATATTTTATCTCAAAACACGAGTTATATGCTTGATTATTTGTATTTGATTATATTATTTTTTAAAATAAATGTTTTATTTAATAAAATAGTAATAAAAACATACATATAAAAAATTAATTAAATAAGATTAATGGAAAAAAAATTAAGTGGGGCTACACAAAGAAAATGCCTCCTAACATAACAAAAAGAAAAGATAAAATCTTATTTGTAAATTAACTAAAAACTAAATCATATTATATTAAAAAAACATAAAAATCTATTAAAAAACCTAATAAAGGATGAAATTGCTAGGAAAAAATAAAAGAACCTAAAAAACAAATAGAAAAATAGAGACTTAGACACTCGATTTAGGTTTGGTTTAGGTGGCTCAACATCTTGGGTATGGGCTTTCAAGCTTAGATTTATGCTCATATACTAACTTTCTTTATTATTATTATTATTATTATTATTAATAATAAGAAGTGGATGACATATCGTTTGTCTTTTATTTTTTAAAAAAATATAAACAAGTGCCACATTGCTTGCTGTAGCAAATTATGCATCGCTTGTTAGCTTAGTTTCACTTGATTGAAGGGTTATTGAAATTTTAGATCATGACTTTTTTTGTAAAGAAAAAACTTGGTTTTCAATCTCTTTTTGACAAGGAAAAAACCTAAAAAATAATATATATCTTAATAAACTCATTCATGTCTTTAAATAACTCAAAAATCAAAATTGACTAGAAACATAAGAACTTTCAAAGCTCAAATCTACTATTTCAAGCAAGGCTATTAGTAAATAACACCCAAGATAAAATCAATTTTTTTTGTGGTAAAAAAATATTGATGTCAACTGAATTTCTTTCTATTATCAAAATTACACCACTTTCTCTTTCATTTCTAAAATCAATGACTAAAAATAAAAAAATAATTTTTTAATCAAAAATATATTTTTTTTAAATTAAGAAATCGAAAGTTTATAACTTTAGAAATATAATGAGTGGATGACATATCATTTATTTTTTATTTTAAAAAAAATATAAACAGGTGCCACATTGCTTGCTGTAGCAAATTATACATCGCTTGTTAGCTCAGTTTCACTTGATTGAAAGGTCACTGAAATTTTAGATCATGGCTTTTTTTGCAAAGAAAAAACTTGGTTTTCAATCTCTTTTTGACAAGGAAAAAACCTAGAAAATAGTATATATCTTAATAAACTCATTCATGTCTTTAAATAACTTAAAAATCAAAATTGACTAGAAACATAAGAACTTTCAAAGTTCATATCTACTATTTCAAGTAAAGCTATTAGTAAATAACACCCGAAATAAAATCTCATAATCGAATGGAGCTTATCTATACTAAAATCAATTTTTTTTGTGGTAAAAAATTATTGATGTCAACTGAATTTCTTTCTATTATCAGAATTACACTACTTTTTCTCTCATTTCTAAAACCAATGACTAAAAATAAAAAAAAATATTTTTTAATCAAATTTTTTTTTTTTTTAAATTAAAAAATTGAAAGTTTATAACTTTAGAAATATAATGATCAAAGTGAAATCTTACATCCACCTGTGAAACTTTATTTTTTTTTCATGATTTTTTTAAATTTTCCTGTTCCTCAATAAATTTGAAGTGATTAATTTTTAGTTTGGTCACAAAAGGATGAAATCATCCAAAACAAAAGTTTGATTATCAATATATATATATATATATATAGAGAGAGAGAGAGAGGGAGAGAGAGAGAGAGAAGAAGCACCATGTTTTTATCTGCAGTGAAATTGACATACGGTTTAGAATTTCTTAAAGAATTATGAGTAAATTTGCTAACAAAAAAAAATGTCCATCGAAATCAATAATTCATATATGTCGCGTGCACATTTTTAATTAATATTTAATATTATTTTTTCAGTATACAATAATTGTACTCTCTCTCTCTCTCTCTCTCTCTCTCTAAATAGATAGATAGATCATCATGCACGCACTTTGACTTGAAAAATTCCATATGCCTTCTTAAATAGAAACCAGTGGTTGACGTTGGTAGCTTACCCAATGTTGTTAGCATCATTTAAGAAATATAAGGTAGTTGATAGAGATTACACTCTCTCTCCATAAACAATTACTCATCAACAGCAGCCGGAATCACAAATAATGAGGCGATAATAACAGGTAAGTTGCTTTCAAAAAACGTAAGAAAGAAAGAAAGAACTCCATTAACGTACTCATAAGTACGTGATTTTCCAGCAAAGCTAGATGCTTAACAAATGTTCGGTGATTAAATCACTCAAGCTTGCTAGCTAGCTAGCCATAGCGAAAGTATTAATTCTCTGCATCTATCCTTGCATGCATTCTCTGTCTATATTAATTTCTTTACTGTTATGACGCGTTTTTTTGCAAAAAATATCATGGGGAAGGCAGGCAGACCCATTAGACATGCAGCATTGTGAATATGAAAGGCAAAGGGCGGCCTTTGTCACCATTAATGCCTTCAATATGTTGGCAACTTGGCATTTATAGCTTGACTTGGGGTGATTAATTGATAGCGTGTAATCGTTAGGTATGCTGGCAGATCTGCTGTGTTCTAGCTGTTGCGATCGATTGATCAGAGTCAAGATTGAGACCAAATCATGTTCTTCTACCTAAAGATTTAATGATTACGAAATTTAAACCGTATTTTGATCGATAATGTAAACTGCTACAAATTAAGTCAACTCCCAGCTAGCATAAGAATCGTATACTTGAGCTCAATAGTTCAGTGATCTCTTTGAATCTTGGCTGCAAAGGCTAAGGCAATGCCCATCTTCATGTGGGCAGTGTCTCTTGACTTGCGCTTAATCCGTGCGTCTCATTGCTCTTCTACGTATATTCAAATGGTTCAGCGTTCAGCGTTTTTTTTTTTCGAGTAAGATTTTTAAGTAATATCTTGAGTTCAAGTTTTATAAATAGAACACATCATCATTGAGAGAGCTCTACGAACCAGCCAAACTTGACCGGATTAGTACCCAACTTGACCGGATTAGTTAGAATCTAGTAGAATTCTAGATACGTGGATTTAAACCCAAAAAAAAAGAAACACGCTAGATCAGGAAGCCAGAACAACTGAGAATAGAGAAATTTGTACACTAGGATTTTCAGGCATTAATGGTGGGGACAGATTAATGGTGGGAACAGATAAGTTGGTTGAAACAATACTAGCAAGAATGTAATTCTCCACAAGAAAACCAGTTCAACTAATACAAGCAACCATCGATAAGGAAGCAAAGAGTCCGCTTGTTCCATCATACATGGGGAAAATGGAGTCCTCGAAGCAATATTGGTGGCTGATATCTAAGCATTCCATGACTTCAACTTAGAAGAAAAGGTACTGAAACTGTACATACATGTGATGCTATCTGTATGTAAAAAGAATTGAAAGAAAAATCTCCGATGAACACATTTTCTTGTGGTAATGTTATGTTCATCATCTTAATATCAAGAAAATTAGTAAATCTTTATCACACTTCTTCAAGCAAAAAGTCTATTGGGCTGAAAGTGTACGAATCACATATGGGGCTTCGGTTTGGAAGTAAAAGTTGGCAGGCTGGCATTCAAACACTTGTCCGTTGAGGTGAGTATTTTTTGTTTAGTTTTTATCTAAAATAAATAATCAAATTAAAACAAAAAACTAATTTAAAAAGAATAATTTCGATTAGGTTTGGTTAATTGAAGTTAAAAAAAAGGGGGAAAAAAACCAATTTAATTTTTAGGCTATGTTTGGGCTTTTTATGATTTATTTTGGGCCTTGTATGATATTTTGATGGGCTTTTCGAAGCCTTGTAATTGTTTTAAATAGCCTATTCTAAATATCCAATTTTCTTTTATTAGATTTCTATTTCCTCAAATCTCCAATGGCATGAGAAACTTCACAACACACCAACAAATTAAACAACAAAGAAGCTGATATTGTCAAGAAGGAACCACACCGAGAATTGTACAAATCATCCCAGTGAACCATTGTTGCAAGATTTCTTAATAGACATCAGATCTTTCAATTATACTTTGAAATTTGTTCAAATACAATTGCCATTTAATGTCTAACATAATAATAACACCAAAAAAAAAAAAACAGTGGAAAAATACTAATAAGTCCCCGAACGCCAATTTATTAATTATGATTTTCAATAGTATTCTTTTAAAATAAAATAAAAATTATTTATACTCAATTAATTAATGATTAATGAGCATTGTTAAAGATCTCAGCTCTTCTCATAGCGAGTTCAATGATTTTTTTACGTGAAGTGCTAAACTATCATTGCAATATTTTAGTAAACAACGTCATTGAGTCCGAAGAGCAACGTTTTTCCAAAGAATTGTGGTTTTTGTTAATGATTGAAAAGGTATGTAAGTTAGACCTCCTTTGTATGCCTGCTCAACCTGATTTTTTTTTATTAAAAAAAAGGTTTAGATTTATCATTAATGTAGTAAAATGAGCTTTTAAAATTTATTTAAAAATATGGTTGTAGTTGTTTATCAAATATTTATTTAAAATTTATTTAAAAGTATAGTTGTTTATCAAAGACTATTTAAAATTAACATTAAAAATATATTAATTTTAAATTTATTCAAAACTACTTTTAAAGCATACC